CTGAGAACGAGTCCAAGAAGAATGTGGAGCTACTGGTTATATGAGCATCAGGAAGTTGGCTCTTTCTCCACATTGTTTAGCAGCCAGAAAGGGTACCACGGAAGCAGGAGGCAACCAGAAGGCATTCCTTTTACAGTGTGATAACATTTCATGCCACAGACAACCCCCTTCACGGGCAACAGCTCCAAACCCAAGCTGGGAAGAGAGGGCTTCTGAGGAGCAACCCAGGCCCAGCTGTCCTGTTTCCTCAGAGAATAGGAAACCTGCTCCCCCTTGTCCTGGAAGCAGTCCCAGTGAAGAAGTTTGGGTTTTGACGCCTACAGCCCTGAACTTCTCCAAGATGAGCCCCCACGCTCTCCATTCTAAGATTCCTAACACTCACAGCAGCCAAGCCCTCTGCTGTTCCGGGATCTTCTAGCTTCTTCTGGAACAGTAACACCTTTCTGGTCCTTTAAAATAGATTTTAGGCTTCTCTGTGCGCTTCCGGTTCCCAGTGCTTGTTGCTATACAGCAACAGGCTTGCTGAATCACTTTTATTGTTCCTGGCCACATTTCTTGGACAAAGGCATTTTCTAGCAGGAAGGCAGGGGGCACACACACTAAACTAACCTAACCTTTGGTTGCGAACAGCAAGAGGCAAAGATTAAAAGAAGCTAGATGCTTCAAACCAGGCTACATAAACAGCAATAAAACAGTATTTTCCACAAATACTACATTTCTAACATCTAAGAGAATGTGGAAACCAGTTTCATGTTTTTAACCGGAGCCTATGGTGAAGATGTTTTCATGTGTGAATCAATTCCGCCTCTGGAGAAGACATGCGGATCGGATCTTGGCACAAAGCAGCCATCGGAAAGTTGAAGATAGCGTGAGGGAGAAAGGATGCCAGCCAAGAACCTGGCTACACAGTTAAAACATGCCCCTGCCCCGTTACCATAATCATCATCTTCATCATCACCAAGACAATTCTCAAATATTTATGGCTGTTTACACTGCTAAAATGTACATGATTCTCAGGGGACGGAACCAACTTTGAACATTCCCATAAATTCCAAGTATCTTTATATGGGATCTTTTTTGATTTTTAGAATGTACAAAATTAGTAATTCCTGCATGTAATTTGCTAAGAGAGGGAGGAATTCTAAATATAGCAAGAACGGAGCTGGAGCTCCATGGTGGAGCATAAGCCTTCCATGTCCATGCCCTGCTTTGATCCCCACCTTCACAGAAACACAACAGCATTAGGGCTTCATTTTAAGTACAGAAGCATGAGATCTGGGAAGACATTTTTGCATTACTTTATCTAAAAAGTCTTTCTTCCTAGGTTAATGAAAGAGAGAGAGAAAGAGAGAGAGAGAGAGAGAGAGCAAGTGCCAAACACCACAGGAAAAAAGAAAAAAACCGTTTTAGTTGCTTAGGAAGGAGACAGACTTAGGACTGAAAGGGCTCACCTATCACACCCGAGAGCCTAAATTCAATCCCGAGGACTCACGTGGTGAAAGGAGAGAATGGACTCCCCCAAGCTGTCCCACACATAGATACGTATAAATGAATATTTAAAATTTATTAAAAGTAGGTGACCCCCCCCCATCCAATTGTTAAAGCTATTGCCCAAATATGGCCTCCTCAGTTCTTCCAGTTACTAGTTTGCATCCAGCTGGAGCGGGGGGGGGGGGGGGCCGTCTGGGTCAGGACATTGTCACGCAGACAACGGACGGCACAGGGGTTATGACATTACTCAGCGTCACAGAGGGTGCCCACAGCGCTGTCTAGACAAGGTTACGTATTTGCGAGTACACAGCTACGGCAGTCACCTACTATTTCGAAAACAACAAGTAAAACTCTCAGGTAAGAGCTATGATGACGCATTCCGCCCGAATCACTCCCAAGCCTAGAAGTCCCCGAGAGATACAGTTCCTCCATCTTTGAGTCAAGCAGGATTTAGAGACTATTTGAATAACATAACTCTAGCTTCTTGGTTTCTTAAAAAGACTCGCTCTCACCATCATTTCATATTTACACATTCATATCCAGACTGGCTTCTGCAGGAGGTCATCAGAAGTAGCTACTTATGCTGGCTAGTTTTTGTCAGCTTGACACCAACCAGTCACCTGGGAAGAGGAACCCTCAAGTGAGGGACTGTGCACCAAGAGACTGGTGTGTGGGCCAGTTCCATGGGCCATTTTTCTTGATTGATGTTTGCCGGGAGAGGGCCCAGCCCAGCCCACTGTGGGTGGTACCACACCTGGGCTGGTGGTCCTAGGTTCTATAAGAGAGCAGGCTGAGCAATTCATGGGAACCAAGCCAGAAATAGCATCCCTCCATGGCCTCTGCATCAGCTCCTGCCTTGACCTACAGACCCAACTTCATTCAGGGATGGACTGTAGCCTGTAAGCCAAATAAATCCTTTCCTCCCCAGGTTGCTTTGGGTCAGAAAGGTTCATCGCAGCAATCTGAGACATTAATATTTTGGGCTCTCAAAGTGGTCCATGGGGTAAAGGCAACTTGCCAACAAGCCTGAGGAACTAAGTTCGATCCTCAGGGACTACAAGGCGAAAGGAGATAACTGGGTGTTATAAGTTGCCCTCTGGCCACTGCACACATGCCGTGGCACACATTACCCGCCCCATGAAAGAGATTTAAAATGTAATAAATAATAACATTATTATCTAGCTTAAAAAAAAAAACGGAGAGGCTAACCATGTGTGTTTTATGCATGCTCACATTAAGATCCCAAGAGATGAGGCACACTCTTTCTTCATTTTTTCCCCTCTTATCGTGTTCCTTCAAAGAACACATGGTTTGATACAAGAGAGGAAGTCTCAGCAATGTTAATATTCAAAGTAGGAAATGTGGAAAAGAAAAAACAGACAAAATTTTGAAATTCCCAATACAACTGAGAGATGAGCCATGGGGTGAAATCCAGAAAGCAATTGAAACAGTCTTTTCTTTCCTCTCCCCTTACACAGGAATTCATCACAGAGCGCCAACCACATTACTTACTCTTCGGCCATCGCAACAACTTCTTTGTCTTTTTTTTTAAGTTTTTATTTTATTTTATTTTATGTGTGTAAGTCTTTGCTTGCATGTTTATCTATATAATACTTGCATGCCTGGTGCCAGAAGAGGCTAGAAGGGGGCATAGGCTCCCCAGAACTGGAGTTGCAGACACTTGTGAGCCCTTATGTGAGTGACAGAAATTGAACCCTGGTCCTCTGGAAAAGCAGCCAGTGCTCTTGACTGCTGAGCTATCGCTCCAGCCCCTTCTTTGTCTTAAAGAATTCTCAAGTCCATACTCCATGATATTCTTCCTATTCATTTGAGGACAGCAATAATCTATTCTCAATTAAGTGTAACTTACAACTTCTTAGAACAAATACAACATTACTATTTAATGCAAATATAGATCATCAAGTGTTTTTAGGATTTTATAGTCAACTATGTCCCAAAAATATGGACTTAATAGAACAGCATGAAGTTACACTGATTATGTATATTGTTGTGTATAATAATACATACTTATTGCATGCTAACTACTGGGGTCAAATATGTTATAACGGGACAAAAATGGGTAAGCAAACAAAGCTGCTTTGGCAACAATCACAACTAACAAACAAACCTCTTGAGAAGTAGGGGAATCAAAATCTACAGATTCAGCTGTGTGGATTCCCAGGAAAGTCTAAGGGAGTGAGCTGCCTGCTTGGCAGAAATCGCAAGAAAACTGAAGTTGGACAGATGCACCAGGAGCCTGCAAAACTTAAGGTCAGATAGATGAACCTGCAGATAACCTAATAGCACCCTACTCTATCTTCAAAAAAAATAATAAATCAAAGCCAGTGATAACTACTCCTTGGAATGTTTTTACCCTGAAGAAAAACATGCATGCCTATGAAATAGGATGGAAGCCTCTTTGATGTTTTGGTTACAAAAAAAAAAAAAGAAAGAAAAAAGAAAAGAAAAAGGCCCCTAATTTTTCAGGAGCCAACTAAAACAAAAGGCAAAATCAAAAGAACAATAACAAAACAAACAAACAAACAATAATAATAAGCAAAAAACCACTGGCATTAATATGTTATAAAGAGTTGCTGTCTGGCTTGCTGGGAATTTTGAGCTTTAAAACTGATGTATTTGTTACACAGCATGAGTCTGGCTGACTAATTAGCTCCTGCCCTTTACTCACCAAGATGCTAGTGGCACGAGAAAAGATTCCGGCTGGAGCATGGGAGCTTGCTTTCATTAAGGCAGAAGGACTACAACAACAGCACCCTCTCTCCTGAAATCCTAAGTGTGTGACAAGGATTTGGGGAACAAGGAGTGAAAATCTGACCACAGCATCCAGCTACAAAGTTTAAAACCAAGATTTTAAAAGAACTCGTTTTCCTCAAACTCAAGTCTGCAGCATTAACGTGTTACACGATGCTACCTAAGGCAGACTAAGGCTAAGACTCAGCATACACCAGCTTAATTTAGTGGGAACTAAGAAGGCAAACTATCTGGTCAGAGAGCTCAATGGTCATCCACATTCTTCTTTTTTGTTTGTTTGGAGGTCTATTTTGGTTTTTGTTTGCTTTGCTCTTATCATTCATTCATTCATTCATTTGGTTTTTCAAAGCAGGGCTTCCCCTCTGTAGCCCTAGTTGTCCTGGAACTCACTATGTAGACAAGGATAGCCCCAAACTCAGAGATCCACACGCCTCTGCTTCCCAAGTGCTGGGATTAAAGGCATGCACCACAACACAAATCAGATCCTCCGCAACTTTCTTAAAGTGACCGAACTCAGAAAGAAGGGCTCCCTCCCTTTCTCTTGAAATGCCTTAGCTGCCGGTCTTCTCCCCTCCTCCTTCAGAATCTACACAAACTCCTGAAGACAACATACGAGCATCCTTATACACATGACGCTGTGTCAATATTCCCTTTTAGAACCTTGCTCTGCTGACATCTGGACAAGTCCAGCACCAAGAGCAATACAGAGGGCCTTGTTACTATTTCTATGAACCTACCTCAGGTTTAAGTAGGTCAGCATCTGCAGATTGACGATGGCCTCAGGAATGACGCGGATGCAGTTGTGGTACAGGTTAAGGATTTCCAGGGACACGAAATGGCACAGCTCCATCGGCACTTCCGCCAGCCTGTTTTTAGACAGATCTACAGAGAAAGGAAAGAAGGTTCTGTGAGTACATGGCACCCCAGATGCTTCGTTCCTGTTTCCAGGCTACGATCTGAACGGCACCAACGTCATCACTTTTCTGCCGCTGTTACGATTTCTGTCTCTTGGGCAAATTCAGAAGCACGTGCACAAGGGAAGCAAAGGTGCCAGTGGGGCTTCCGGTCTCTGACTTGTAAATCTGGCTACGCCAAAGGAGCTCTTCACCAAATTTTGAAAATTTTAGGCAAGAAATATCTTTTCACATAGACAAATACGCACAGTGCCCAAAACCATCACTCAAACTTGCATTCATTATATGCACTGACTCCAATCAGAGACCAACTCTCCTAACATAGGAGGGATTTGTCCATTATATCCTCTATAAACAGACACATAACCAGCACTTAAAAAAAAATGTTTTATTCACTGGAATACTTACAATGTACAAGGCTAACACGAACCAACTATGTCCGTTAAGAGTCAATATGTGGGGGCAGGAGAGGTGGCTCAGTGGTTAAGAGCATTGCCTGCTCTTCCAAAGGTCCTGAGTTCAATTCCCGGCAACCACATGGTGGCTCACAACCATCTGTAACGAGGTCTGGTGCCCCCTTCTGGCCTGCAGACATACACACAGACAGAATATTGTATACATAATAAATAAATAAATATTTTTTTTAAAAAAAAAGAGTCAATATGTGTCTGCTGAACAATTACCAGTAAAAGTGGACCCCACAGCCAGGTCCATAAAAACCGGGCCAATGACCTTTGCAGAGATGTGAACACACAGCAGCACCCGCAAACAAAATGATGCAATATCCTTCATGGGGAAAGGTGAGAACAGTAGACATGACACTAAAATAGGAAAGCAAGGACACCACAGTGAAGAGAGAAGTCCAGACCTAGAGGATAAACTGGGAACTTGATGCTCCCGAACTTAAAAGTTCCCAGACAGCTTGAGGGAAGAGGGTGAACTTGACACATGAACACAATGCTAGTGATAAAATATTGCCTGAAAACCATAGTAAAATGGGGGAAGACAGTCCTTACATTCACAGCTGAACAGACTCATACAAAGAGAAGAAGATGCTATTGTCAGGAGGACCGGGGCTGAAGATGCAGCTCAGCAGGGGAATGGTACCCAGCTCTGTGTGAAGTCCTGGGTTAGATCCCTAGCCCCACACCAGGAAGGGGAAGCAGCACTGAAGTGACTGCCAGATCCTGGGCATTGGATGGGGGTGGGGAGGGCATGAAACAAATTTCCTTTCGTGAATGTTTAGGACCAAAACGGAAAAAAAAAATCCAATTCCAGAAGGCATGAAGATTCTCGTGTGTTACAAAGCAGGAAATGTGCCCAGAAAACAGACTGCTGTTTCCTGTGAGCTCAGCTCAGAAAACCCCACTGAAGTTCACAGAGAGACAACGGTGGCGGTGGCGTGCAGCCTGGTGTCTCCAGTGTTTACAGTACAGGGTGTTTGCCGTCCCCACCTCTTATCTCCTCACGGTCTCCAGGAGTGGGGGAAAGTTCAGCGTTCTTCCCCCCAGTTTCCTCTGGGCAAACTGATCTGCGCTGACAGAGGCCTCTGCAGAGGTGGGGCTGGTCCTCCCTTAGTCCTCCCTCATTATACACTGGATCTAACATTTTCCTATTCAACTCTTACTCTGTTTGCTTCTTTGCTTGGGTTGGGGATTTTGTTGATTTCCCTTTTGAAGACAGGATATTACTATGTGGGCTCAGGTTGGCCTAGAACTCACAATCCTCCTGCCTCAGCTGCCAGTGTTACCACCTGACCACAGGCTTGCCTCCTCAAGACCCTCTGAGAATATTGTGGTTGTGTTTGAGACAGGGTCTCACGTAGCCCAGGCTGACCTTGAACTCTCTGTCTAGTAGTGGTGGCCTTGAACTTCTGATCTCCCTGTTGGGTTTAGGCAGGTGCCCCAATGTCTAGCACATAGGTTTATGCAGAGCTGAAGAGTGAACCCAAGACCTCGAATCCTGGGCCTTACACACACTAGGTAAACATGCTACCAACTGGGCTATATTCAAACTTTTGTTTCTGATCGTACTATTCTCTATATGCCTTCTCAACGGTCCTTCCTTGAAAGGAGTCAGGCTATATAACCGTCACAAATTAAGTTCTAAGCTGCTGACCGTGGGTAGCCACGATGACCAGGCCTTCACTGTCTCCAGATAAGTAGATCTCCATATCCACCAAGCTAGGGACAATTCCCCCATGCCATGAGCGCCTATACTTCTGGATTCGCGTCAGTTTCTACAGCAGAAGGTAAGGAATCTACATGCAGCCTAGACTCTGCCGATGCCTACACAAAACAGCTGCCTCAGTCAGCAGCGCAGAAATTGAAGCAAAACAGAAAGAGTTTGTTTGGGTTAATGAACCGAGTGCTGAATTATTTACACACTCATCAGCATTTCCTGAGTATATGCTTTCTACAGAAATGGAAAAACCACACGCAATCAAGAAGCTTAAATGTTTAATAGAAAAATGCGGCAAACTCACAACAAACCATAACTCGGGATATTCCGAAATATACTCTTAATAAATCTGGGGCTGGAAAGACGGCTCAGCAGTTAAGAGCCTGTGCTACTCTTACAGAGGTCTTGAATTTGGTGCACAGAACCTGTATTGTGGTTGGCAACTAACTATAGCTCCTGCTTCAGAGGACTTGCATGCTCATATCCACATACAGAAACACATAATTGAAGAATAAAACTCTATACACACATCAAATATACATATATACATACATATAATATATATGCTCTAAATCAGGAGCTGAGTGTGCCTGTAAGAACAGATAGAGCTGGTGAAATCTGTACAGCACATAGCAGATGAACAACCGGCCTGTTTCTGGGGGCCTGGTCAGCAGGCACTGCACAGTCCTACAAAAGCTACATGACCCCTGTCCCAGTCTTTAACACATTCTCCAAACGAACGAGGTGTGTCTCGGGTGCCTTTGTCTCCACCCAGCCTAAGTGGGCAATTGTGCTAGCTGGAAACCCACCCTGGGGTCTTGCTCTACAGTGGGGAGTCAAGTACACCCTAGTGCAAACACACTTGGGAAGCAAACCAGCACCCCTAAGACACGTCTGCCCACATCCGCTGCTTAATTAAAGTACTCACACGAAAGCCAAGCAGCCAGAAATAAAACAATAAGTATCACACTGCCAAAATAAGCTTTGCGAAGCCCTAAAATAAAGTGGCCAAATGAATAAAAATAAGCAGGGTAGGGGAGAAAAACAGTACGTGGAATCCAGTGTGCAGTCAGCAAGACTGACCGGAGGGAGGGCGCTGGGCTGTTTTTATATAAAAAGTGGTAGCTCCCAAGGAACTGGCTGAAGCCCCCATGTGCCAGCAATAACATCCGAAGTTTGCCGTCATTAGCCATCCTCGATGCACAAGCTCTGTGGGCCAGGACAGCTAGGGACCTCGTGGACCACATCCTGTTGGGTGGTCAGTAGGAAAGGCCTACTCCTGGAAGCCAAGATCATGACCAGTTTCAGGAAAGCCAAGTAAGACCACAAACACACTGCCCTGACAAGTAACTGCAGAAGCCAGCAATCTCCCCATGGCTGGTAGGGTTGCAGCTCCCGACTCCCCACGGGATGCCTAAAGAGCCCAGATAGGATAGAGTCCATCCATTCTTTGTTTGTTCTTCGATACACATGCCTGCGAAAAAGCTGAATTTACAAACTAGGCCAAGCAAGAGAATCCCAATAAAGGGCGACCGATTAGAACCGTTTCAATGATAGACTGTGATCAAAGTTGTATGGCTGTGGTGTCTCTCTTGAGAGGTAAGACAAATGTTATTTTTGGATCACAGCTGACCACGAGGAATTGAACACCAACAGTGAAACAAGATAGGAGGGGAACTACTGTGTTAGCACCAGCCACGACATCTGACTGGCGAGATGTGTCACCAACACACGGAAGTCAAAAGACCCAGCACACCGCTGCGTGCATCCTTGTGCCTCCCAAGGCTGTGGAGGGCTCTTTCCACTTGCCTACTGCGGCTCCTCCTGAGACCACTGCCTCTGGAGACCATCTTTGTGCAGAGAGATTGCCTGGGGTCACGGGTCTTCTTCAGCTTACTAGGCAAGGTCTACTGCCTTTCTACCCCTGATCAGCTTTCTCACTTACTACTCCGCTCCATAAACAAGGGAGCCCAGCCCCAAGATTCACCACCCACCCACAGGAGGGGCAAGTTTAGAAAGGTCCCAGAGTACGGGATCATGGCTCCAGGCAACGGAACAGAGCCCACGGCTGACTCAGTCCTGACTCGGCAGATTTAACCACCAGATACTGCAAGGGCCAAACAGGCAGAAATAACAGCCGACTCCTACAAGACTGGGAAGAGCCCAGCCTCAGGCATACTCTCAGGGATCGATCCAAAAGGAGGTCTCACAGGTAGGCGTCATAAGGCTTGAACTATATGTCACAAAGCTCTTCTGTTCCCCCTGGTACCTGAATTTCTATTATTCGTGTACCATGGTGGCTAATTTATCTTCCCGAGCCTTAAACCTAAGTTCTGCAGTGGTAAGGCCCTGATACATAGCTGGAGCTCAACAAATAGGACGGGGAACGTGGCGGGAAAGCAGGAGCTCGGGCCCACACGGTGAAACCTCAAGCTCTGGTAGCTCGGCCGGGGAGACTTGGAAACGGTAATCTGTCTGTGCCTCAGTTTCCTCGGCTGTAACATGAAGACAAGAGCAGCCGCTGCTCCAGAGTTCTTGACAGGGTCAGACTAGGTCCTCCAGAGTAAGTCCTCAGAGTAGCGCCTACATAGGTCATGGCACTGCAAGAAGAACTGGCACAAATAGGCTGCCACTGACTTATTCTATTATAGCAAGCAATAAGGTCTGAGTGACAAGCAGAGTAGATTAGACTGGAGAGCATATTCCACACGAAGTACCAGCAAACTAAGTACACTTGTTAGTAAACAACTATGCACACATGGAGGTATATATGTTTTATTTGAGGAG